GTGTATATTTTATATATCGTTTATGTAGATATAACTATATATCACATCATTAAAGTAGCCTCTCACACATAATTCGTTGGGTTGCACAGTTGAGTCGCTGCTTGCCCTTGCAGTCCCCTAGTAGCTTCGAAATAGAGTTCCTTATTGCTTGCCTGCTACACAGTGGACACCCAAATCGTATACACCGCCCGCCTCTCCCACTACCGACAGAGGATTCGATACAGCCCCATATGGAGCCAACAAGGTATGGTACCACCCTGGCAAAACGGGCATGAGCCAAGCCAAGGATCAAACCGATCTAGACCAACTGTAGAAACCGGCAAGGACGTAGAGTAGAGTTCCCTCTGTGGATGTTCGGGTCTCTCGGTCTCTCCCAAACGATTCGAAAGATTTGAGCAAGTGCCTGAATCAAAGACTGCAAAGCTTCGTGCTTGCAATCAATCCGCTTTTTTAACTAAAAGTAAGCGAAGAGCCGAAATTGTTCACAGAGCAAGTGCTTCTCTCAGCCTCACCAAAGAGCATTGTCGACTCCTCACAAACAGTGCATCCTCTCAGATCTCTTCCCTCAGCTGACGCCCCTTGGTTTGGCAGGCCTCAGTTGCTGGCACTCTGTGAGAAGCTCATCCACTCCGGACAAGAGGCATCCGAACTGAAGCGATCCGAAGCATGTCAACGTTGTGGAGAAGAAACTCAAGACGATTCGCCGGCAGATCTGAGCTCGAACACGTACGTGATGTATTGGGAATCGGTGAATCGCACCAGTGCGCGTTCAAAGAGCTTCTCAATCAATGCTGAGAGCATTTTATGATATTTATGATAATGATATTGGCAACCCTGATGTGTGTCAAAGCCTCGCCAACCCCGGCAATTCCTTTGACATATGGAATTATGGAATCCATGGGGTCCCGCTTAAGCGGGTATCAGCGTTTTGACTCTTTTGACTCACGCACATGGGTTAAACTCGAAGGGCTTCTTTCGTGACACTGGAGATCTTGACAGGCTCTGACGAAAGGGCCAAAGCCTCGACCTCAAAGAGAGGTATCCAGCATCAGTTCAAGGTGCTGGAGTGCCAATCCTCAAGTTCAATTATTACTGTAGGAAGGCTGACATACTTTAATAACAACTGATCTTACAGCGCATGTAGGCCTCAGGTTTGGGATCAGACAACAATTTTGGAACCTCAGACCACCAACCAGAAATCCCGGTACCCTAAGAGTACCTTTGAAATGGACACGAATGGCCCAAATTGACCAAATTCTGAAGCACCCTTCGAGACCTCTACGCTATTCTGAGGCGCCCTGCTGGCAACAACAACTTGCAGATGTGTGCGGAAAGCCCGTCTCGCATCCAGGCCGAGCAGTCGTTGAAGGGTCCCAGGGATGGAGATCTTTGTGGGCTCTCCTATCAAAAACTGTAACTTTCTCTTGGAATCAACTGGAAGTATAAACTATAAACTGTGACTGTCCCGAGCACAGCACTATATATATAAATATAAAGAACATAAGATCTATAAAAAGAAAATAAGAATTTCATCCCTGACGGCAGGTAGCAGAAGACTAAGGTGAAAGGGACTGTCATTTGTTGCTCGATGTCAGGCCAGACTGGGCACAAGGTGTGGGTCCAGGTGCTTGCTTCCAGTGAAGGGCTTTGCCACATCTGGTTGATTGCATGTGCTCACAATTGATCACTAGGATCATCCACGCGTCTTCGTGTGGTGGTCTCGTTCTCTCGTCTTTGCCAGCTGATGCACTTTGTAGTCTGACTTCTCATGGATTCAACGCACCGATTCGCCCACGACATGCCGATTTGTGCTGCAGACCTCCCAAAGATGACCGTGCTAGCACAGCCACGACAAAGGCGTGGTGACGACCAGTGGCAGCTCCAGATTGATCGTTCACTGGATGAGTTCCCAGAACGCATCTAAAGTGCTTCAAGAGGGCATTTCTTGCGTTATGCATCGTTATGCTATATGTCCTATTGATGTCTAAAGCTGATTATGTTCTTTCTTCATCTTTCTTCAGGACATTGACCGGCTGTATCGACCTTTGATTCCCGAAAACTGAGATCGGTTTGCCGCGGAGGCACCGGCCACGGCCGAAAGTCGCCTGCAAAACTTGGGCTGTTGCTCGCCACCTTGGACCAGTGCCCCTGACATGTCGCAGTTCTTTCAAGCAACAGTTGCTTTTCGTCTCAAACAGCTTTGCGTGGTCGAAGGATGTCTCAATCTCAGAACCTGACAGACTGAAGCTAAGGTGAATCACAGCGGCTTCCATCGCTAGCACCTCCACCACTTACTGCACGAGGCAACATCGGAAGCCATCAGTGCTTTGCTTATCTTTGCTTCGATGTTTCCGCTTGGTAAGTTGGCTTCATGACGCCACAAGACATGGATTGGTGCTTCCTGTTGTTTCTTTCTTCGTGACCTGCCCGTAGATGTATAGCAACGGATTTCACTTTCCAGTGGAATGTGAACGGATTGATGTTTGCCTGCTTTGCCCAACACAGAGCAGCTTACCTCGACACAAACTAGCCGATAGGCGCTTTTGGGTTGTGGTCGTCATGAGGAGCGCCTTTGCTAAAGTCTGAAAACCGTTGGTGCGCGGTGAACCTGATGTTTCTTGTCATGCCGCCATCTGGAAACTGTCTTGCAGGCTAGGCAGCACGGACGCGCATTCAGAAGGACGTGGGCCGTGGGGCGCATGTACGTTGCAGCGAGCTTTGGCTATGAAGGCAAGGCGTTCCAAAACCGATGAGTCATGGACAAAGTGTCTGGCTAGTGGAATCTATTTTGGATGGTCATGGTCAGAGTATCAGCCCCTCCTTTCCCCCCTTGGTTCCTTGGAACAGGGCAAACTGCTCGTTCGATGCGCAAGTTTGGTCCATGTTTCCCTGGACCGGCCTCAACCAAATGATATTACAGTATTATATATCTTTAAATATATACAGTACATAATATATATAAATGCACCAAAAGTTCTGGCAAACACAACCAAAGAACTTCATTGGGCATTGCCTGGAGGGATCAACATATCTGTAGTTCAGGAGGACCAAGTTTGGACATGTTTACTGATTTCATCTCCGCTCTCTTGCCGTGCAGAATTGTCTCATTGAGGAGAGCCATGCGAGCCACCCGAGAGTGTCTCACTGTCCGAAATTCTGTGTTGCTTTCAAGAGCTGCACGTGTCGGAAGAAATGTTCATATTATATATACAGTATATATGCATACATCAAACCGGCTGAAAGAACTTGCAGCATGTTCCTATCATTTGGATGAAACAAAATGCTCCAGCTACTTCACCGGTCTGAAGTGTTTGTTCCATCCTCGCACGCAATGAGTTGCCCAACATGTTGGTGATTGATAGTGACCAGCTTCCAAAAGCAACACCTCAGGGTTTGCACATTGGCAGAAACTGCTGATGGCTAGTGTTCATACAGTCCCTGCTCTCATCCTATGTGCCTGACCTCGTTCCTGTTGCCATTCACTTGGACTTGACGATTTCGTTGATGTGTTGTTGAGTGGAGAGGCAAAACTTGCAACCACAGAGCTTCAGAACGCCTCAGTGGTTCATGTTTCACTTTGGATGACCAGTTGCAGCGCAAAAGGCCAAGGGACCAAAGGAGGCATAGCAGGTTCAGACAAACAAAGGCTGCAGCTCCGGTAGTCACCGGCCAGCAGTTCAGTGCTTCAGTGTCCATCATGATGGAACACGGATCATGATACCCAATAGTTGCAAGAACTGTTTGAACCGCACCTATCTTGAGCCTAATTCTTACATGCTGCAACAGTGCATGAGCCAGAAAGAATTACCACAGTGCTTCTTCCCGATATCATATGGGCTTTGAGTCTTCTGGAACTACGCAACCCTGTTGAGAGAGCTAAATACTGCGATGGACAAGACTGCACACAAGCACGGTCAGAAAGACAAGCAGGAGCAAAGCTTGCATTCGGCAACAACCATTTGTCGTCGGTTTGTAGTGTTCTCTTTGATTCGTTTATGCAATTGCAGCTGTTCATTTTGTTAAGATATCTGTTCCTTGGTTTTGGGATTTGGCAGTTGATCTACTCTTTGTGTTTGATCACTTTAGTTTACAATAACTGTTTTGTTGTCTGGGTTTGGGGTTTCCCCATTGTCCCTTATCTTTTGAAAGCGTGTTGGTTATGTTCTGCAAAATGTATCCGTATCCTTGGTGCATTCACTATTTCGGTAGTGATCCTGCCTTGCATGTTTGATGCTGCTTTTCTCCTATATCAAATCTTGCCGTGTTGTGATCCACAGTCATCACTTTCGCGTCCACTTGTCGATTGTTACCAGCACTATCGTTGCCTGAGAGATGATGCTTCCGGGTGAAGTTGCTACTTATGCACATACATGAACGTGGGTGGTCAACAAGAACGTGGAATGACACTGTCTTCCTTGTGCCTGTGTTGATGGCACACGGCCATTCTACATGACTCTTCCACGTGAGCTATCGTGAGTTGGAACAGAACGCTCAGCTGTTTGTGACAAACAGACAGAACTTGCCGTCGAAGATGCAGTTGAAAGTGATCCATGCGATGGAAATCAGTAGCCCCCAACAGTGCAGAAGTTGTGGATGTGAATTGCAACAATAGGATCACGACCAAAAAGAGACCCCACTTGAATCATTACAGGCCGCAAGTGTGAAGTGATCCTGACTACATTCCATTGCAGATGTATCTACTGTAAATGCGCTGCTGCGTCGGGACATGTTGTAGCTGATGTGAAGAAGCCTCGTGGTAATTGACTGTATCGTGGTTTCACAGGACTGTATGCTAAATTCTTTTGGTTTGGTATCGGACGAAGAACCTCTGATGCGTGAACCCCCCAAGTCGCTGAGACAGCGGCAGCTCTACAAAGCAAGCAGACCATGTTCACAAAGGAATGAAGTGAGTCAGGCAGTCGTTTTCCACCTTTTGGACACAATTTGCACATCTGGCAGTGGGCACCTGAAGGACTGTCGACTGTGAGCGGGATTAACAACGTGTTCAGAGGGTGCCACACGTTAGACAAGTACAAACAACTCAACATCCGCATGAGTTGAGTGCCATTAAGATAGCTCCAGCTTTTAATGTCATGCGGAAAAAAGTGGATGGTCGAGTTCGAACACTTGCGGCAACCTCAGACAGATATTTATGAGTGAAAGCGTTGTAGAGGCTGTATAGTGTTGTGATTCCCATTTTGTGCAAGATCCCATCAATTCAGATCCAAGAGGTTTGGGGCTGGAACTCGAATCCGACTCCAGCCCCTTCTGCAAGGAGTACCCATCCACGTTCCAAGTCGCTGGAGAGCATTGAAAACATGTTTGTGTGAGTGAAAGCCTTCGAGACACCGATGTCCATAGATAGAGTGCTTCCAGGTTGAGAATGGCATCAAGACCCACACACGGTGCATGTTTGTCATCGTGCCTTGGCTTTTCTCGCATCGGTGCGATGAATGGGACCGCAAAGGCCTTGAAGCCCCCCAAAAGGAGTGTGGATTAAGCTCGATGAAGAAACAATCCAGCCCAGGACGGATGAATGGGTTGCGACATGCAAGAGTGTTGTGTATATATATATATATTTAGTTTGTTGATTCTATTTTCTGTAGTAGGACCCATGGCAGAAAGTTGCAGAGGTTTGCTTGCAGCTCGGGCCCTGTGTCTTTTTTGCGTTCACTGTTCACAGGTCGGCGATCATGGAAGAGAGCAGGCGATCAAACGGAGATGTGGAAACGCGAAATCGCAAGAGTTCCATTTCAACTAGATGACTAGATCCCGTCTAGGCATTCTTGTGAAGCGTTCCGAATAGAAAAACACCTTTACCATGTCGCATGTTTTGGTGCATCTTGAGTACTGAAACATGTTGCTAGGTTCCAAGTGTTTTTTTCCCCGCATCATGGCTGTCCCTGGCTGTCCCTGCGGAACAACTGAATCTTTTGTCACAAAGGGACCAATGCTTGTGGCGTCAGAGACCATCATGGTGACGCCCCCGGTCAGAGACCATCAGTTAGGTTTTGAGGGGCAAGTCATGCATTGTTTCAAGTAAAACATGACTAAAGAGTTTGTGGGCTGTACCCCACAGTGTGCCTCTGGTTAGCTGAACAAGTTGGGTAAGACTTCAAATACTACTCCACATGCAATGCATTCTTTCGATATGCTGAGATGATCTGAGATGAACAAACAACTCGTCCGCAACGCTCAGAATCTCACTCGACACCCTGCTGAAAATTGATGGTTGCGTTGCGCCCGAACAGGGGGGGTTCTCCAGACTGACGGTACCCGTCAAAAAGCCGCACCTTAGTACCCGCTGGAGAGGAACTCCGCGATGACAGGTGGTGAACTTGCACTTTATGGTGAATAAGATCACCAACACCAAGCCCTCTGTCCTGTGGCGCCGTCCTATGTGGGCATTGGTGAGTCAGACGATCGCATTTCATCAAGATGTGACATGGGATTGTGTGACTTCCACTAGCACTATGGCAGCGGCTGCAACCATTCTCGCTCAAGAAGTGGAGTAAGGCTCCTCGAACGGGTGATGTACCTATATTCTTTTTACCAGCCTTTTCCCCATCTTCCTGAGCGCTTGAGAATCCAAGCAGGCAGTTGTTCTACAGCTTCATGTCATAGATGTTTATAGCTTATTGGATTTGAAAGAGTTTGCCATGTATATACAATGCAATCCACTAGATGTTTTTACACTTAATATACCGTATTTGTTTTTGTATGTCATAGTATGTCCTTTTTGCTTCCTAAGCTTTCCAAGGTGCTACAAGAAGGAGTTGGGCTTCAGCACACACAAGAAAAAGAGAATGAAGCAGGTGCCAACAGCATGGCTTGCCAAGAATGCATGTATGTCAATTCGGGATCTTGGTAGAAACACTGATTGAAGGTGGCCAAGCATTGGCCAACCATTGTGGTAGTAAGCAACCCAAGGTGAAACGTCCATGCATGCGCACATGTGGAGAAACGATTTTTGGGGGCAAAGGCATGCCAAGATCAAGCCAACTAGCGACTTTTTGTCCATGGAATTCATAATATTGCGCACACGTGTGCATGCCGGATGCTCATTGACAGCCTGTATATGGCACATCAGGAGATTCTGCTCACACCTCTCCAGCATGATTTTGGCGCCTCCAACACCCGATTGCCCCAAAAGAGGAAGGCCTCCAACCCCGCAGGTGAAAAGGATGCAGAAGAGTGGGCAGCTGGATCCCAACGTGGATGATCCGCGTGGTGCCCCAACATCTCGCGAGCTGCGTCGCGTGGCATGGTGTTGGCCAGATTGCATGCTTTTCTCTGTCACCATTATGGCAAGCAGGTTGCTGTTTTTTTGGGGGGTCACCCTCAGGTTTGAGCTGTTCATCTCAAGCACCAATATCCGATACTGCGTGCCTGTCTCGCTTGACGTGGCATGGTGTTGGTCAGGTTTGGCCATTCTGTGATTTTCTTTGGGCGCGTGAATCCACGATTGTGGCACCCTTTAAGAAGTCCTTTTGACGGCCTCACCATTCTATTCCTCTTGAGCAGTGCAACTGCGACCCAGGGGGGCCACTGTATCCATCAACGGCCAGGCTATTACAAAGACACGGAGCAAGTCCTTGGGAAGACCTTTGGGATGTGCCCACCGATGCGTCGGGGTGGATGTGTTTGACAGTCCTGTGGGAGCTGACATGTTGCATCGTCAAACTCTTTTTTCAGCCGTGGTAAAGCTCAGAAACATACGAAACCGACCATGGACCGTGGTGGTGAAGGACTGTTGTGGGTGGTTTGGGCAAATGATCCAAACAACATACAAGAGACATTGAGAAACCATGAGAATCCATCAATCCAGAAAGGAACGCCATCAATGTAGGCTGACTGAGTTGAAGCCCAGGCTCAGGATGTCATCTCTTTGCCCAGGCCCTACAGGCCCTAGCCGACCTGTCAGGGCCTCCCTACCTGTCAGGTGCATCCTCCAGGACTTTGAGGCCCTGACCCCGAACTTGCTGTGTCGCGTGGTGGAGACCGTGCAGGGCGGCGGAATGGCAGCTTGGCGCTGGAAATCCACGGGAGAGATCAGCTGGGGGAGACTCACCCAGCTTCGAATGCTTTTCTTTTTGGATAGGCATGTGAGCTACTAGTAAAATCTAGTAAACAGTATTGTGAGCTGCTTCCGGTGCCGCCTCATGAAAGTCAATGTTGAGATATCTGAGACAGCCCGAGCACCACCGATCGCAGAGCGGACCATTGACGCAACGACCTACGTAGCTTATGACATGCAAGTATGTCAAATTCATGATGCCAACAGCTTTAATTCTGATTTTGATGCTCCTAAGCAGCCACGCTGCACATGCCATTGAGGTTATCCTTCTGTCTTGCCGACACGTTTGCTTGTGTATTCGCGTTCTTTGCACATCTGGCAAAAGACGAGTACTGTCGAGCTAAGGTTGAAGACTCCCAGTCTGAGGCAATTATTTAAACAAACATGTGCACTCAAGTCATTTCCAATGGCCTTGTGAGAAGGATTGCATTTGCATACGAGTGGGTTGGAAAAGTCTGAGTCTTAGTCAGTTAAAAAGAGCAGAGGATCGTTCGCACAATGCCGTTGTTGCTTCTCCATGTTGATAGTCAATGCGTTGTGGCTGCTCTGTCACTTGCTGTACACTTCTTACAGGTGGTGACGATTTCCAGAATCCAGAATCCCCCTTGCTTGCACCCTTTTGAAATCATGGGGCTGACGTCTCCAATTCAGAATTAAGAACACAAAAAAGTAACGCACGATACCAAGTCACCCAGGGGCACAGGAATCCAGAAAAAGCATGTTGAAATCAGAGTGGGCTTGCACTATGGTAGGGCGGCACCCGGATTTTAGGGCGGAACTCTTGCAGGAAAGACAGGATGAAACCACCCAAGAGTCGTGAACCACCCTAGAGTCGGCCCTACCACCCTAGAGTGTTTGGGACATGGTTTTACGTGACACATTTGACATCGAGGTCACACGTGTTTTGGCATTCTGGTCTTTCAACACATTTCGCCTAGTACAGGCCACCTACACTGACTTTGTCACTGATGAATTAATCCCTATGCCCTTCAATCCCGTCAGCACCCGGTCACTGGCGCTGTTTCTCTCACGCGCAGCGATTCGATTCCTTTGAATCCAGAGTTGTTCGGACTAAAGTTTCTGAGCGTGTCCGATGACGTTACGCCAATTTGTACTCACAGCTAAGCCTGCCTGCATATTGCATACGTTGTACTCGTTGCAGAGTTGTGGGCGTGCCTAAGCTTGCTAGTTATAGTTCGTCAATTGTTATTGATGACAGGCCAGGACGATTTCTAGAGTTGTTCGGACTAGAGTTTCTGAGCGTGTCCGATGACGTTACGCCAATTTGTACTCACA